ATTTTGACCCATGCAATGTATTGTTGGCTATTGCTACAAATATACCCCAGCGACTTAACACTGCTTTTGTGCTCCAGGGTCACAAATATGTGAGTAAAGTAAGATGTAATCCAACCTTATATATATATAGAGCTGGGCAATAATAAAGTTTACATTTTGCAATGATATAAACAATTAAGCAGTTGAGATTTGCTATTTAGCTAGTATACAGTATATCACGTTACATGAGTAGCCTATGCATGCTGTATGTATGGATGTACTAAACCATCCACACACATGATCAACAAAGATTTAAAAGACAGCTCAAACACTCTGAGCAAGAGTCAAAATAGTTTGTCAGTCTAAAACAATAACATCAATAAAGTTTAATAGTTAAACGGACAAAATAACACTAGGCAGCAAATGTCTATTTGAAGAACTTTAATGCCAGCAGGTAAGGAATGACCTCTGTGTGTGACCTTTGCCCTGCAGACTCAGATACAGTGGCGTACCGGTGAAGAACATCCTCATCCATCATGAATATAACCCACAAAGCTACGCCAACGACATTGCTTTGGTGCAGCTGGAGGAGATGGGTGTTTCAGACAAGTGCATGCAGGACAATCCCGCGGTCCGAGCCGTCTGCGTTCCCTGGTCCACCTTACAGTTCCAGCCCAACGACACCTGCACCATCTCCGGCTGGGGCAAAGGTGCGGCTCCCTGTCAAACACAGCCTACAGAGATCAGGAGGAGTATATGCAAGAGTTTGAGGTCTTATTGTCTCTCTGTGTGCTTGGATCGTCAGAAGCGACTCTAAAATGGGCAAATGTGACGCTTGTTGGTGTAACCCCTCTCTCCCGGGTCCTCTCCGCCACACCTCGTTCTCGCTCCGAGTGGGTCTCCGGCATGGGAGGCAGAGGCACTAACAAGGAGGCTAAAGACTGCAGCCTCTAGCGTCAGTCGCTAGTGCGTCTCTTGAGATCAGGGGAGTGAGGTTTACCTGCACAGCACCTACTCGCTGGCCTCCGTTACACTCACCCCCCCTAACCACAACGGAAGACCGCCTCTCCATTCATTCGATTGGACAATGGGAAAAAAACGTGAATGACGTCGGGTGCTTTTCTGCTCAGAGTTGCTTTTTTTTTCAACTTCAGATGCTCAGAGCGCTCCTGCAAAAGCGCGAGGCGCAGCTAAAATGCGAAATCACTGCCAATAGACAACAATTTTAAAAAGGCGCCTCTCACTGCAAAAAACGCGTTCTGTCTAATCGGGGCCTAACTCTTGTTGTTTTCATTTTTAAGGAATAGTTCTGTCAAAAATGAAACTCACCCTCATGTTCTCCCAAACCTGTATGACGTATATTTCCTGGAATATAAGTCGCCGTTTTTATCAGCTAAAATGTGGTGCGACTTAGCCAGTGTGGTTTATATAATGCAATTATATTCAGATTTGGATTTGTCCATGCTAAAAAAACAAAAAAGGTAAAACCAGCCATGCAGATTGGCTAGTTTCCCAGCTAAAGAAGTGGTCAAACCCCTTCTAAAACCAGCCTGGTAAACCAGCTAAAACCTGGTTTTAGCAGCTTTTTCAATAAGACAACACATTTAGTTTAATATAATAAATTAATTTAGGCTTGGTGTTTTTAATGAATGCCAGAATAATTTATATTTGTTTTAACGTTTTCATTCCTGTTCTGCATACAGTTAAATGCAAGGGATTTGTTGTGAAGTGAAAACTACTGTAAAATGTTTACGTTTAACAGTCATTTACATTTTTTCGGAATGCAATCATAAAATGCGACTCATACACATGCAACTTTTTTTTTTTCTCTCAACAATGAAATTTTGACGCGGTGTGATTTATTTTCTGGAAAATGCGGTACTTCCTTTACTTTTTCCTTTTCTTTACTGTAGCACTCCAAGCAATTACAAAGAATATGGATCCAAAAAGGCACAAAGACGCCATAAAAGTGGTGCAAACAACATTGAGGTTCGAAGCGCATATCAAATTGCTAAAGTCACATGATTCCAGGAAACAAGACTTTGGGCATAATTATTGTAATTAGTGCCTATGTGTTTTTTTTTTACCTGATCTCGGATCAGTTTTAAGAATCTGTATACATTTTTCATGACACATTTATATGATCAAATAAAACAATAAGCCCCAAGACGCCGTGGTTTACAGTGAATTTATAACAGCTAAGGGGCGTTGTTAGGCACGACGTGAAGTCTAACCCCTTTAACCCCCTCAGCTGTAATAAATTCACTGTAAACCACGGCTTCATGGGGCTTATTGCTTTTATAAAACGGTTATTCCATATACGTAGTAAGGTTTCACAGAATAAAACAGAGCAAATAAAGTGTAATGATATTAATAAAAACAGTATTCTTCCACCAAACAATGTAGCTCCTCAGAAACAGTTGTGGTTGCTACAAAGTGGTTGCCGAGCAACACACAAACGTAAACAAAGGTGTATGTTACTTTGTAGAGTAATTTACAACAGCTTCGAACGCGGCTCAGCCAATCAGAATCAAGGACCGGAACTATCCGCTTTATAAATAAACTTTTTAATGGCTTAATTAATTAAGCAAGCTCTCCGTAAAACAAACAAAACAAGCACTACAATGTAATAAAATAACCAGTGTTGGGGATAACACATTACAAGTAATGCGAGTGATGTTATCAGATTACTTTTTTCAAGTAACTAGTAAAGTAACACATTATTTTTTAAATTACAAGAAAATATCTGAGCAACTTTTTCAAATAAGTAATTCCAGTTACTTTGTTTTCCCATGTCTTGATTGACAGCTCTGGTGTTGCCATGTTGAGAGAAATCGGGAGTAAGGTGTTGTGAGCGCTGTGTGAACATGATGTTACTGTAGTTCTAGACTAAATATCAACATCTCACTCGCACAAAAACAGATTCAGTGTTCCTCAAAATCAATAAATATAGTGAAATGCAAACCTGCAATAATTAAATGTTATATAACACAAATATCCTTTATGTGTTTAATCCTATTTTATTAACCAATGTCTTTGCTGCTGACCTTCGATGATCCAATAATAATATGCAAAAATTACTTTAGATAAACAAAACATTTATGTTTTCACTTCACTTTTGGTGTGAAAGGGCTTTTACATTTGCAAAAATAAAACTTTTTATATTAAAAACAAACAAGCAAGCCCAGCCCAGATGAGAAAAAATAACATAACATATTACTTTTCATTAAAAGTAACTAAGAAACGCAACTAGTTACTTTAGGGAGTAATAGAATATTGTATTGGGGAAGTAACTTTCCCCACCACTAAAGAAAAGCTGTGTTTCTCCCGTCGCTGTTGAATAACGCTGTGATTGGTTGTTCTCCGTGTCAGGTGACCTGGAGGGGAAGGTGGACTCGTGTCGGGGCGACTCCGGGGGGCCGCTGGTGTGCACAGACGCGTCTGGTTTGTCGTATGTGTGGGGAATAGTGAGCTGGGGAGATAAATGCGGCGCACCCAATCATCCTGGCGTCTACACTAAAGTGGCGCAATATTTCGACTGGATCCGCTCCAACACAGGCTGGCTGGCCGTTACCAAATTTAACCAGTAAAATGAAGGAACAGACTACTTCACATTTGCTGATTGATGCTTTTGAAAACATTTGTTTTTTTGTCCTATTAAAGTGCTGATTACTATGGAAGCCCGTTTCCGCCACTGAATAAAAAATTTAAAAAAAAGGTTATTGCGACTTTTTATTTTTCACAATTCTGACTTTTCTTCTCAGAATTGAGAATTTATATCTCGCAACTCCGACTTTATAACACGCAAGATATAAACTCACAATTCTGACTTTTTTCCTCAGAATTGCGTGACAAACTCACAATTGCGAGTTATAAAGTCAGAATTGTGAGATAAAAAGTCGCAACTGAAGTCGCAAAAAAGTCAGAACTGCGAGTTTTGTGTGAACTGACTTTTTTCTCAGAATCACGTGATATAAACTCGCAGTTCTGAGAAAAAAAGTCAGAATTGCGAGAAAAAAAGTCAGAATCGTGAGATATCGCGTAATTCTGAGAAAAAATTGTGAGATAAAAAGTTGAAATTAAATAAAGTAATAAAGTCAGAACTGCGAGTTTTGTGTGAACTGACTTTTTTCTCAGAATCACGTGATATAACATTTGTTTTTTTCTCCTATTAAAGTGCTGATTACTATGGAAGCCCGTTTCCGCCACTGAATAAAAAATTTAAAAAAAGGTTATTGCGACTTTTTATTTTTCACAATTCTGACTTTTCTTCTCAGAATTGAGAATTTATATCTCGCAACTCCGACTTTATAACACGCAAGATATAAACTCACAATTCTGACTTTTTTCCTCAGAATTGCGTGACAAACTCACAATTGCGAGTTATAAAGTCAGAATTGTGAGATAAAAAGTCGCAACTGAAGTCGCAAAAAAGTCAGAACTGCGAGTTTTGTGTGAACTGACTTTTTTCTCAGAATCACGTGATATAAACTCGCAGTTCTGAGAAAAAAAAGTCAGAATTGCGAGAAAAAAAGTCAGAATCGTGAGATATCGCGTAATTCTGAGAAAAAATTGTGAGATAAAAAGTTGAAATTAAATAAAGTAATAAAGTCAGAACTGCGAGTTTTTATCTCACAATTCTGACTTTTTTTCTCACAATTCTGACGGTTTTTTCTCAGAACAGTTTATGTTTATATCACGAGAAAAAAAGTCAGAATTTAGTTTTTATCTTTTGCGTGTTATAAAGTCGGAGTTGCGAGATATAAATTCTCAATTCTGAGAAGAAAAGTCAGAATTCTGAGAAATAAAGTCAGAACTGCAAGTTTTTATCTCACAATTGAGAATTTATATCTCGCAATTCTGACTTTTTTTCTCAGAATTGCATGACATAAACTCTCAACTGCATGTTATAAAGTCAGAATTGCGTGATATAAAGTCGCAATTACCTTTTTTATTTTTTATTCAGTGGCAGAAACGGGCTTCCATAGATTACACATCTATGATCCACGTGTCTCATACTTTATGCTGGACATTTTTAGTAAACCCAGATTATTTTAGTTTGCCTTTTTATTCCAGATTTTCGGCATAACTGTACAGCAATCACTTCCTAAAATGTCACAGCGATAGTTGACAAACGGAAGTAGGAGGTATTAGTGGTAATATTATTATAATTTTAGAGTGTAATATAGAACTTGTTTATATAAATATATTTTTAATATTATTCATTATTGTATATTGTTTTATTAAAAAGTGGTCAAATAAATGATCAGTTTATGAAATTTAGGCCTAAATCATGCCATAAGTAATAAAGTAAGAGTCACGGATGTCATAAAAAACCATGTATAAGCATTTTAAATATATTTACAGCATATTTACAGTGGAGAAATGCATAGGTAACGGTTTGTGGTAATGTTGTATTTTGATTATATGTACTGAGAAAAAACATTTAGGAAACATCTAATATAATACAAGCCCAGCCTCAATAAAACACTTCTTATTTTCAACACAAGCTTGGTGTTTGCTCTTAGTAATGATGGAAGCCAGAAATCAGACACACTTACAACAACGCTTTACAAAATATTATATATTTAATACATTTTAAGTATTATTGAATAATTATTCATGTTTTGCTCATATATATTTTATCTGTGCTGTTTGCTTTTATCTGTGCACATGTTTTTAAACAACATTTTTTTATCTGTGCTGTGGTTTTTATAATTGCACTTTTTTATCTGTGCACCATTTTATCTGTGCTGTTTTTTTGTTTTTGTTTTAATCTGTGCACTATTTATTCTCTGTTTTATATTTTACCTGTGCTCTGTTTTTTTAATTTGTACTTTTTTGTTTTTTTTATCTGTGCTGCATTTTTATCTGTGCTCTATGATTTTATCTCTGCACCATTTTTAATCTGTGCATCCATTTATTTGTATTTTTTAAGTCTGTGCACCATTTTTTATTTGTGCTCTATTTTATCTGTGCACCATTTTTTTTTAATCTGTACACTATTTTATCTGTGCTCCATTTTTTTTTAAATCTGTTCACTATTTTATCTGTGCTCCATTTTTTTTTTTAATCTGTGCTCTATTTTGTTTTTATCTGCCATTTTTTCATATATTTGCCTGTTTTTTTTTCGCTGAAGCTTTAGTTTTCGCTGCTGCACAAGGTCGGCATTGAGGAACGCCAGCTGCCTCAGATGGCCAAAATAGGGCCTGATGCATCTCACCTTCATGACGTGATCAAAGGCCTCTTCCACCATCATGTCATGGCAGAGCATCAGATACACCAGAAACAGAGTCGCCGAGTGGCTGAGGCCCTGTGTGCAGTGAATCAACACCTTACCTGAGGAAAGACAAACAGAAAGATGGTCAAAAATGTCATTCCTAGACTGTAGGACACTTGATAAAAGATAAGAAATGGAAAGTGTGTGTGTGTGTGTCAGCTCTTACTCATTGGGTTCCTCAAGGCCTTGTCAGTGAATTTGGCAGCTGGCATGAAGTACTTGTTGATGTCAAAACAGCGTCTGTACGACGAAGGCAAGCCACAGTAAGTGATGTGCAAGCCTCTGTAATATCTGGACCGTGTGTTGACCATTCCTAGTAGGTCTTTCTCTCTTGCCATTCCCAACAAGAACTTCAGGTTCTTCTTCGGGGCTGCAGCGTTTAGGATGTGTGTGTGTTCAGTTTATCTCGGTCCCTTGCCATCTCTCTGCACAAGAACACAACAGCCTGGGTTAGTCTTTCACTAACGAGGATTTGCAATGAAATAGAAATATCATTGTGTTTGATACTCCTGCAATACATTATTGATTCAACACACCATTTATATTAGTAGACTTCTCATTTCCAATGAAGACCCCGGGCCAGACCTCAGTGACAGGAGTCTTGGACTGTGTACATTCCCTCAAACGATCCTCCAGTTGGAACACGTTTAGAGGGATGCAGTTTTCCAACCTTGAAACCTCTGATGTGACTTCAGCTTCTGGCTCAGGAACGCTTGGACCGTGTGCACACAGTTCCTCTGGATCGACCAGATCCACTTTAGGTTCAGTGATACACAATTGCTCGGTACTGACCAGATCCATTTCAAGTTCTGGCTCGGGAGCACTTGGATCTGGGACCCACTGGGATTCCTTTGGATCAATCAGATCCACTTCAGGTTCCCCAACAGCATTCAGTGTGTTTGTCTGGAAGACTGCACTCATTTTCTTGAACATCCACCCAGCAGTGCTTTCTGAAGAAAAAAAGAAGAAAACAAACTAGATAAGTAAAGTTTGATGGCCAAAGCCTTATCTGAAAGTTTAAAATAACTGTTAAAAGCCTAAAGTTTGAAGGTTTTACTCCGAGAATTCAGAGAAAATCAGAAAGATACTTCAAACCCCATTAAACCTCATCTGACTGCTACGAAACCACATCAAACCCAATTAGACCTTTAAAAACCACTTCGAGTCCTCTACCACTTGTTTCTGGCATGTTTCCAACAGCTTTTAGCAGATAGACAGAGAGACAGACATATAGATAGATAGATAGATAGATAGATAGAATAAACTCTAAACTGGCAAAAGTTTTCAGCCCCTAAATGGAATCTATCAGTGTTTGGTCTCATTTAGAAGTCGGCTAAAGGAATTCTGTAAGTCGGATTAGTTAGAAAAGATATAGCAACAAAATTCAGCTCAGCCTGAAGGTCCCTGCCAAATTTGGTGGTTGCAGTTTGAAATCTCAAGGAGGTGTTACTTTTGGGAAATTAGGGTGTCAGTGGACGTGGAAGAGTAACACATTTAAATAGGAAAACCGTATTACGTCTTTGTCATGCCTACATAATAACACACTGTCAGAAACATCTCTAACCACATGAATACACAAGAATAAGATGTATGCTTGTCTTCACCTGTTGGGCGGTTCTCCTCAGCATCCAGGCCACCCTCATCACTGGCTTCTTCTACTGAAGCTCCAGCTGGGTCGCTCAGATCTTCAGACACCAGCGTAGGGCTCTTCAGCTCGGAGACGCCGCTGTTCATGTTCATCTTCAGCTGCAAATCTTTGACTTCAGAGACTGAGATGTCTTCATCCTCGTCGATCTCCAGCTGCACGTGCATCTCTCCTGGACTGCAGTAACTGACGGAGATGTGATCATCCGTTATGACCTTCAGCTTCACATCTATCTCGTGATTACTGCTGCAGCCGAGAAGCTCGTAGATGGCATCGGTGAGCTCAAACTTCAGCGGCACATCTTTATCATCCAATGCAAAGCAACTGTCTCCGGAGTAGAAGGCACCGTTGAGGTAAACCTCCAGACGCACCTCTCTCGCTTCTATAGACATGGTGTCTGGTGTTATCATACTGACAAATCTGTACTTAATGCACAGTTATCAAACCGACTGTCTGTTTGTGTCTATAATCTGTATCTAGAGACTCAATTGGTGTGTATAGTGTTCGTATGGTCTACAGTTGAAAAAACGTCCCTCAAACTCGCCTAAGCTCTTCACCACTCAACTTGCAGAAATGCAACGCGCCTCAGATTGTATATAGTGCTCTTTGTGACGTCATAGACGCAAGTAAATTCCAGTTGCCATAGCAACGGGATGCTCGCTAATGG